TGAACCTTAAGTCCAGCAGATGCTTTGGAATATCCTTAAATATCACCACACTTGAATTGTCAATTTCCAAAGTTTTTTGGTAGTGCAGATTCAGAATTTTATCTCTCTCTTCTTTTGTTCGAAAGGTAATCAAACAGTCTCTCACCTTGTTCTTGCTTTGTCTTCTTCCGAGTCTAAATGCATTCACTATCTTAAATTCTTCCTTCCCCAAATCCAGTTGCCAAAAATCTATGAATTCCTGTGTAAGAAAGTCAGCCAGGTTATCTTTCTCCCGTTCTGGTACAGCCCTGATTCTTAAATTTCTTTGTCTGTCTTTCAATTCGATCATGGAGAATGTCACATCATGGTCCTCCAATTTCTTATATACTGGTGGAATCTTCTCTTGAGTAGCAGTTGCGATGTCTTTTGCCTCCTCAGCTGTCTTTCGAGTCGAGGCAGATTCCTGTAGTAATTTTTCGATGGTCTCTGTGTTGGTATTCACCTTCTGCCCCAAGATATTAATACTTGCAGTGTTTAAATCAATTTTGCTTGATGCTTCCGCAACTTGTCTATTTGTCTCAGCTACCTGTCTGTTTGTCTCAGCTACCTGTTTATTTAAACTTTCCAAAGATTCATTAATTTTTGCAAGTGCCTGTGCCAAAACTTCTTCCGACGACATAACTTTTGGTTTGACCTGTGGGAGTACGGCCCCTGATGTTCCAGATGCACCAGATGTTGAACCCCTTCACGGCTGCGCAGTGTCTATCCGATAATGTCTGCCAGACCTAGTAGTTTTTTCCTGCGGCTCTATCTTCCCTTTCCCATCTGCCATAACAGTCTCATAGAAATTCAAGGTCGCTCCCACAGTTAAACAGTTGTTTTGGAATAGAATGGAATTTTCCTCTAAGCCAGTTGTTATTGTAACAATGTCCGGCTTCCTCTAGGGGGACACAGTAACAGCCAGAACTTGCAACTTTTAAGAACAAAGATAGTTTTTATAAATCCCCCAAATTCACTTTAAAAACAACAGTCTCAGTGCACTTAAACAGTTACTTTCAAACCAGGAGCAGTCCAGAAACACTGTATCCCTTTTGCAGAATTAGCTGTCAAAAATAAGCTTTCCACTGTGCGACCCTTATCTCAAGGCAGTCCGTTCCAGGTTTTAAACAATAAATTTTAGCTTCCTTTCCCCCTTCTTTTTTGCAGGTAAATTCAGCTCAGTCTTTTCCCCCTCCTCTCCTGCAATCCGGAGGGGGGGACCACTTTCCAAATGTTAAGATTTAGCTCTTTTTTCAAGCAACTTTCTATGTTTCCGCTTTAGAGTCTCTTTGCTTTGATCTATTTACAATAAAAGGAAGGCAGACTTCCTGGTTGTACCTTCCCGCTCAGTACCAAATTAGACGTTTTTTTTCTTTTGAATCCAATTTAATCCTACTCACGGGTAGTTGTTTTCAAAGTCCAATTGTCCCAGGAAAAAGGCAGCGCTCTCCGGTAACAGCTTCACGGCTTCGCTCCACGGAAGAAGCAATTTGCTCACAGCACCACGCCACCCCCGCTCTGCTCCGGAGCCCGTTGCCGAGCTCCTTTTGCAATTGGGGGGGCGCAAACGGTGCCCGCTGAGTCCCACGGTCACAGGCTTCACCCGCCTGTGATTTTTGAGGGTCACCGCTGAACCGTAGCGGTACAGACCCAAATTCCGTAGAGCCGGTTCTCTCCGAATCAGAGAGAAGCAGCCATTACCGATGGCGCCACCCCAGAAGTGACGAAACATAGAAGGATTTTGATTAATAAAAATATTGGGAAAGGACCTTGTAGCCTTTGATGCAACAAAGAAGAGAGGCGTGGTAATGTATATAAAACCTGAACTGGATCCAAAGAGGAACAAGGAAGAATATTGATAACTCAAAAAATATTGCTAATACAGTAGGTGTATATGCACCAAATGAGAAAAAATTGACCTTGAAGAAATTCTATTGGAAAATATGAATTGAAATATCATATTGATGGGAGATATGAATAGTGTAGCTTCCCTGGAATGGGATATGACTATAAGAAAAAGCGATACCCAACGCCTTTTTTCAGATAGCAGACAATTTAAGCCTCAATGATATTTGGAGAGGGTCCTAGAAATGTGCAACCCTACTCATCACGACAAGGTGATGATCCAGCAAGTGAGTGTTTTAGTAGCATCATTATGCTGTCTAGGTCCTTGGTACGTATTAGTTTTCCTGCACGTTTGTTACCTCCAGCTATGTGAGGAAAACTGCAGAAATGCTATTGAGTTATATTTCACTATGCTCAGTGCTATTTTTCCAGAAAAAGAGGTGCCTGAACTCACTATGAACACCTCCCTCGTTCTCTTAGAATGGCAATGGCTGACAGGGCTAGTGACAAAAAACAGCCGCCCCCCGGTTTCCCCCTGTTTTTTGTGCACTACAAATAAAATATGTGCAGTGTGGATAGGAACATTTTTTTCAAACTATAGTCCAGCCCCCAACAGTGTCTGAGGGACAGTGAACCAGCCTGAGGACCCCTGGGCTAAGATGTACATACAACTAATTTTTACACATGCACACAGACAAGACAGCATTTCTCTCTCTCTCTCTGCTGACCCATGCACAGGAACTGACATTTGCAAAACTAAGCAAGGATTGTTTGTTGAGATTGCAGGGGGTTGACTAGACGACCCTTTGGGCCCCTTCCAACTCTACATTTTATGATTCTATGAACAAAACCTTTTACTTACATTCCTGGTAAGCCTAAATTGCCTTTATTTCAGTCACCTCTCTGTGGGAGCAGCAGAAGTCTTGTCTGGTGCACTTTTTTGTAGGCTAATTTCCACCAGTATGGAGACACGTCCCTTATTGGCTCGGGTGGCGGTTAGGCATTGGAATAATGTGTTGTGGTGTGTCGAAGGGCTGGGTGTGGCCATCGCCTATGCTTTCAATTTTTGGGTATTCCGTTAAAGGAATCTGGCGGTCGTGTACTCTGTCCGATGCCTGCTTGGCGGGAGGCCATGGCATGACCCCCGGTGACATCAGGGGAGAGCCTATAGTTGGATTAGCATCAACAGGCTCCACCTACTGGTGAATAAACCCCCTGTTTTAGACATCCAATGCCTAAGCCAATACCTTTTCACTGCTGTAATCAATAAAGTTGTGGCCTTTTCTTGCCCATTAACCTTATATCACGTGTCCTTGTGTATTTATTTCACATCGCGGGGATCGGGTCCTCGAACCACAATTTCCACCAGTATGGAGACACGTCCCTTTATGTGGAGGTTTAAGGAGACTGTGATGGGTGTGCCATCTGTATGAAGAAACCAAGTATTGTGAAAAAGAGAGAAGGCTTGGGGAGGCTGCTTCTGGGAAGTTGTGGTCATTTGTAATCAAACATAAAATATGGAGTCACACCTACAAGAACATTCATATTGCACAATAATATATTCGGTCACAGAAAACCAGTTCTTGAGTAAGTAAAGGTAGGAATAGTTCTTGAAGTACTCTGTCTATGATTCAGTCATTAGAACAAATATCCATGGCTTGTAAAAGCCAAACAGAACTGCAAAACATAAAAAGCACATGTAACTTATGTTCACTAGCCGCTTAATGAATCACTTGAAGAAGGGTTAAAGCCCATTAAAAGCCATTAAAACCACTTAAAAGCTACTAAAATGCAGATAAAAACCACAGGCAGATAAAAAAACCCTGGTATTGTGTATACCCCCTGGTGGCCAGGGTGAGAACTTCAAAACATGAGATCCCTGTGAAGAGGGATTTATTCATTTTTTGCACATTTATTTAATATTAAAACATGGGAAGTAAAAGGCAAATAGAACCGAAAAACAAAAAACCATAGGTTTCTGATCTTCCCTAAATTTTTGCACATTTATTTAATATTAAAACAAGTAATAACGATGCATTACATGCAAAATCAAAAGTTGCACTACAACATTGTCCACTGCCATAATACCGCAGAACAATTATTCCAATTCTCAATCTCCCATCACTGGCAAGGAATCTCTCTCTCTCTCTCTCTCTCTCTCTCTCTCTCTCTGCTCAATTTAACAATAAGTTTGAGAATTCACTTTCCCAAAGGGAGAGAAGCAACACATGGCTCTTAAAAAAATAAAATAAAAATATTTATGATTTCCAGGTTTATACACTTCAATAATTTTAGTCATTCTGGATTCTGGTAGGTAGCTGTGTTGGTCTGATGCAGTAGACCCCCTTCTCTGCTTCCAGGTGTCCTGCCATGGCCCCCACTGAGTGAGGGAACGCCCTGCTGCCACAGCAACCACCCCCTCCTCCAGTACCGGGTGTCACCTGCGGCCACCGCTCTGGGCCCCAGAGCAACGCCAAGCGGCCCGGCCCCAGAAGTGACCTCCACGGCATCCCCTCACAGGGCGCTGGATGGCGCGGGGAGGATGCTGGAGCTGCTGATAAAGTAAGAGTTCTTTAGTGAGGAGAACGCACCCAATTGGCAGGGGCTGCTTGTGCCAGTCCTGAAGAAGGTGACGTAGGGGCGCTGGGTGTATGGGGGAGGAGGGATCCAGAAATGCTGGCCTGGGGGCGGGAGGAGAGAAGCCGACTGGCTCCTCAGAGAGAGAACTTTTGCCTTCCTTTCCTCCTCCCCCCCCCCACTTGAACTCCCTCTTCACGCACCCCTTGTGCTGCTCCCTCCAATGCCAATGGGTAGATCACTGCCAGTTTTTTATTGTCGGTAGTAGATTGCAGCCTGGTCTATTGCTTTCATTTCATGGATCAGTGGCCTCGTTAGCTAGTAAGATTCGTGTTAAATTGCTATTTTAGGGGTTGTTTTTAATTGTCTGGAACAGATTAATCAATTTTGCATTACCTTTTCTGGGAAACTACGCCTTGGTTTTGGAACGCTTTGGTTTTGGAACAGACTTCCGAAATGGATTAAGTTTGAGAACCAAGGTACCACTGTATGTTTATTTGGTTTTAATTACATAATTATTAAATTTTCCTATTACAGAACTATGGTTTGTTTTGTATGGACTAGTTAGCTTTGTCATCCTTATCAAATCGTTCTGAAAGAGCTCTTAATATATTTCCTGGCATTTTTTGGTGTCTATCCCGAAGATTTTCAAGTGCAGTCTTGGTCTGTTGAAAAAACAAAAACAAAGGAATACATTATGTTATAGCTAAAGTAATAGGAAAAAGCTAAAGGAGTCAGACCCAGTAGCATTTGAAAAATCCCATTTTTTCCAGCTACAGAAGCACAATATGTACCGTATTTTTTGCCCCATAGGACGCACCACCCTATAGGACGCACCTAGTTTTTTGGGGGAGAAAATAAAGAAAAAAAATTATTTCCCCCCCCCCCCAAGCACGGGGCTGGCGCGGGGGAAGCCCGAGCTTCCCCTGACCGCAGCCCCCAGAACAGCCTGCTATCTGCAAGCCTAGAGAGCCGCGCCGGTCTCCCCAGGCTTGCGGACAGCTGTGCGAAGCCCGGGCACGCTCTTCAGCGCGCCCGAGGCTTCGGAATGCAGGCAGCTCTGCGGAACCCTCTGGAGGCCGACGTGGCTTGGTGCCAGGCTCTGGAGGGTTGCGCAGAGCTGCGCGGACCCCGGGAGGGCAGGAAGCTCTCTGCGACCCTCCGGAGGCCGGCGCGGCTTCGCGCCGGCCTCCGGACGGTTGCACAGAGCTTCCTGAAGCCTGGAGAGCGAGAGCCTCTCGCTCTCCAGGCTTCAGCGAAAGCCTGTATTCGCCCCATAGGATGCACCCACATTTCCCCTTCATTTTTGGAGGGGAAAAAGTGCGTCCTATAGGGCGAAAAATACGGTAATTTTTTCTGGGATCAGAAGTAAGGGCAGATAAGGATTTTTAGCTAATTGTGGCAGGAAACCATCTCTCCAGATCCTAAGGCATATGCAACTGGCTCCCCAGCAAAGGATAGGGAAGAAATTACTGTCTCCTTGCATATTGAACCTTGAGCATGAACCCATAATGCTCACCCAGACCCTACTTTGCAGTGTTCAGCCAAAATGCATGTACCAGGCCTAAGAGGAACTATGCAAGTCCTACTAGGCATACTGCCTTGGCAGGTCCCTAAAGGGCACCCTTAACACAATAATGCCTCAGTAAAGCTAATCTTTCTCTCCACAACTTTCTCATCTGTACAGATTTAACGCGGTAGGAGCAAACAAACGACACCACTGTCAAATGACGATGACTGCATCCCAACAATGTGAAATAAAAGGAAGGAACCACAGGACAACCAAGGATTCAACCCCCACACACCTGCAAAAATAAATTACTTCTCCGCCCCTTCAAACAAGCAACCAAAAGCCGGAACTAGATGTGGGGAAGGTGAGGGTGAAGCAAGAATGGAAGCAGAAAGTTCTTGGGGGAGATGAGAGCAACCATGAATATTAAGGGTCTGGAAAGGAAACCTTATGAGCCACAGTGAAAGAAGCTGGGTATTTTCAGCCTGAAAAAGAGGGGACTGAGAAGAGTTATGACAGTCATTTCAAATATCTTAAGGGTTGTCACATGGAAGATGGAGTAAGCTTATTTTCTCCTGCTCTGCAGGGTAGGACGCAAACGAATGCCTTATAATCATCATTATCATCATCATTTTTAAAATTTATACTCCACCCATCTGAAAGGGTTTCCAGGGCCACTCTTCAAGTTGCAAGAAAAGAAATTCCAACTCAACATCAGGAAGAGCTTTCTGACAGTGAGAGCTGTTTTGACAGTTCAACAGTCTCCCCTGAGAGGTTGTGAAGGTGTTTAATAATAATAACAATAATAATAATTTATTTGTATCCTGCCATCCCTGGCCAAAGCTGGGCTCAAAGCGGCTCACATCATATAATTATTTTTTTTTAAATGATATTTATTGAAGTTTCACATGAAAAGAGACATCTTAATTAAAAAAAAGAAATTTAAAAATAAAAATAAAAATACACCATACAAAATACAAAAAAAGAAAGAAAGAAAAAACAGTTAAAAACAATTCCATCTTTTCATCACAACTTTTACATTTACTTATTTCCCGGACCTCCTCATACCTCCCTCTTTTGTATTCCAATTCAATTTGTTTGTCCAGCAATTCCTTTCCCTCCTTTTTAATCCCAATCCTTAATCTTAATATAATATAACATTAAATTTTAACCTATTAAAAACCAATTTTCCATTTCTTTTAACTTTTTTAATCCTAATCCTTAATCTTGATCTATATATAACTTTAAAGCCTGTACAGCTAGAAGCCCGAGCGGCTCACATCATATAAGACAATATGCATAAAACCAAGTGATCAATAAATTAAGATACATCCCACATTTAATTCAAACAAATTAAAATTAAAACTGGACAAGTGGCAATCTTCAGGGTAGATTTGAAAGCGGTTACCAACTGCTTCCACTGATATTATAAGCACCTTTGAGTGGGCTGGGAACCTCCTTCATGCTCCCCCCCCCAAGATCTTTATTGAAACGTAACATATACACATAATAACCAAAATTCCCAATGATTCCCTCACATAAAATATAATATCTAAATTACAACAGCTGCATAATTATACAATTTATTATAAAAACCCACCACCCACCCTCTACTTCCCTCCACAGCAATTCCACTTCTTTATATTTCTTTCTACTTTTTTTCCCTTGCATTGTATAATAAATTATTTTTGTTAAATTCTGATTTTTCCTTCTTTCTTTATTGGTTTTATTATTGCTTACATTTTTTATTCTAAGCCTATTAGCATGTCATTTTTAGAACAATATTTTGACATACAATCTTCAAAATACTTCCACTCCATTCTTAACTTTTGATTTGAATGATATCTTATAACTGAAGTTAATTTTGCCAATTCTATATACTCACTTAATTTACAAATCCACTCTTCCTTTGTTGGTGTGTCCTGAGATTTCCATTTAGTGGCAATCACTACCCTGGCAGCTGTTGCTGCATAGAATTTATTTTTTTTCATATGTGGTATGTCTTTGCCCACCAACCCTAACAGATAAGCTTCAGGATTTTTTATCAAGGGTTTTTTAAGCATTTCCTTAAGTTCCTCATGTATTAGTCCCCAAAACTTCTTTATTTCCTTGCAACCTCACCACATATGAATTATCGTTCCAGGTTCTTTGTTACATTTCCAACAAAGGTTGGATTTTAATTATAAATTTTGGCGAGTTTAACTGGTGTTAAATACCACCTGTAAAACATTTAAACAAAATTTTCCTTTATCGTACAGCAAGTGGTAAAGCGGATATTCTCGTGACAGAGTTTCTCCCATTGTTCTAAATATATAGTGTGGCCGATATCTTTTGCCCATTTGACCATTGTTTCTTTTACCTCTTCATCCATCAAATCATAGTCCAATAATAGTGTAAATTTTTGATAATAATTTCCTATTGTTTTGTAATATAATGGTGCTAAATAGCAATTTAATTTTTCTTTGGCGAAGCCTTTTCTTTGATCTGCCTTAAACACACTTTTTAATTGTATATATTGCCAATTATCCATCCCATATTGTTTTAATTCTTCATATGTTTTTAATTTTAACTTTCCTTGGTCTTCCTCCAGTATTTGTCTATATGTTGCCCAGTTCGGATTCATATTGAGTTTTTTAACTGCATGGGCTTCTAATGGAGAGATCCATATAGGAACTTGTGGCTCTAATAGCGGTTTATATTTATTCCAAACTTTCAACAATGAATTTCTGAGTATATGATTTTTGAAGCCATTATGTACCTTAACCTTCTTGTACGCTAGGTAGGCATGCCATCCATACCTATTGTCAAAACCTTCTAGATTTATAATACTAGTGTTTTCCAATATAATCCATTCTTTTAGCCACGTCAGACATTCTGCTTCATAGTGTAATTTTAAATTCGGTAATGCCAGTCCTCCTCTCTCCCTTTTATCTGTTAATAGTTTATACTTTATGCATGGTTTTTTGGTTTGCCATATGAATTTTGTTAGATATTTTCTCCATTCATCAAAACAATTTTCTTTAATTATTATTGGTATTGTTTGGAACAAATATATCATTTTACGGTAAAACATTCATCTTAATTATAGATATTCTCCCCATTAATGTCAGCTTTAATCTACTCCAGGTTTCTAGATCTCTTCTAATTTCCTTCCAGGCTTTTTCATAATTGTTTCCAAATAGATTAATATTTTTCATCGTCAATTCTATAACTAAATGCTTTGCTTTTGTTTTGTAACAATTTCCAAACCTAATTTCTCCTGTAATTCGTTCTTTTCTAATTCCTGTATGTTTTTTACCATAAGTTTTGTTTTTGACATATTTATCTTGAAGCCTGCTACTTTCCCGAACTCACTAATTATTCTCAATGCTTTCATTAAACTGCTTTCTGACTCCTCGGTTTTTAATATAGTATCGTCCGCAAAAGCTTTAATTTTGAAAATATCCTTGCCTAATGTAATTCCCTTTATCTCTTTTTCTTATTTTTCATGCTTGTTCTTATACAAGGAGAAAATGAGTCAGACAGAACCCTGACTAAAGGCCTGGCAGAACAGCTCCGTCTTGCAGGCCCTGCAGAAAGATGTCAAATCCTGCAGGGCCCTAGTCACTCGTGAGAGAGCGTTCCACAAGGCCGGGGCCACAGCCAAAAACGCCCTGGCTCTGGTCGAGGCCAGTCTGATCTCCCTGGCACCCAGAATCTTTAGGATGTTGTTATTTGCAGACCGCAAGGTCCTCCGTGGGGCATACCAAGAGAGGCGGTCCCGTCGGTACGAGGTTAAGCAGAGGCTGGATGGCCATCTGTCGTGGATGCTTTAGCTGATAGTCCTTCATTGCAGAGGAGTAGACTAGATGACCCTTGGGTCCCTTTCAACTCTAAGATTCTATGATCCTATATCTAAAAATGTGTTGGGGGTTCAAAGTTCAAAGTTGGTAGCTCAGAGGGCATTTAATTAGTCTCAACAAGTTAAGCAGAGGAAAAGCTGAGTGATCAATATAATGCACAAAAATATATATAATAAAGCCTAGTTCTGGGTCATACAGAATGAGAAGCCAGTATGCAGAATACAATTTAGAACTGAGAAAGTGAAAAAACAATAGGAAAGATTATTCTGTTTTATATTTCCTGGTACTTACTTTTTCAGCCAGCTCTGTGGCAGTTATATTTGGATCATATGGGATGGGTTCTCCAATATATGTCCTCAATTTCACTGGAAACCCTCCATATACAGGAAGGAGTAAATATCGAGTTTTCTCATATACCCATCTTGCCAACCCTGTGTATGAAAGGGAAAAGATTCTGAAAGAATGCGACCCCATATCAAATGGATGAGACAAAAAAGCTTTGAATCGGCCAACAAACTCGGCAGGATGTTAACCTGGTTAATAAAGAAAAGGCAAAAAGATAAAATTATAGGTAAAATAATAGATCAAAGGGAAGAGATAGTAGACCCAGAAAAAATAAAACAGTGCTTTGTAAATTATTATAAAAAAAACTGTACAAATCAGAAGATAAATATGAGAATAAAATAAATGATTATCTATAACAAAACAAATTACTGGTAATGTTAGAAGAGGAACATAGATATTTAAATTCAACTATCAAAATAGAAGAAATACTACAAGTAATGAAAAACAAACAAAAGTTGGGGAATCTCCGGGCCCAGATGGAATTTCAATTGGTTACTATTAAAAAAACACTAGCAGAGGCCATACTTCCAACCCTGAAAAAGATTATGAGCAATATATTAGAGAATGGGAAGACACCGGAGTCATGGAAAGAAGCCTTAAAAACCTTGATCCCGAAACAAGGAGCAGATCTGATGAATACCAAAAACTATAGACCAATTTCATTACTAAATTTGGATTACAAAATTTTTACAGGAATACTTGCAAACAGATTAAAAAGATATTAAATAGACTAATTAACGAAGACCGGGCTGGCTTCCTCCCAGGAAGACAAATATATACGGTAACAATACAAGAACAATTATCAATTTATTAGAATATTTGGGGGTAGGTGGAAATAAAAGATCAGCAATGATGTTAGTGGACGCTGAAAATGCATTTGATCATGTATCATTGGATTTCTTGTTGAACACCATTGATGCAAAGAAATTAGGAAATAAAATATATTGCAGAATCAAGGCAATATATAATAATCAGAAAGCAAAATTAATCATAAATAATGAACTAACGAAAACATTTAACATTGAATAAGGGATTAGACAAGGCTGTCCATTCTCACCACTTTTATTTATCACCATATTAGAAACATTAGTAACAGCTATAAGGAAAAAACAAAAATAAAAGGTATTTATTGGGCAACAGATTGTATAAACTCAAAGCCTTTGCAGATTACATCATCATAACCACCGAGAACCCAATAGAGAGCATATTAGAAACACTGACAAAAATGGATGAATTCAGGAAAGTCTCAGCTTTAAACTAAACAAAGACAAAACAAAATTATTCGTGAAAAACATGTGTGAAGAAGAAAAAAGAGGATTGTAAACTAAAACAGGATTAAAAATAACAAATAAGCTGAAATACCTAGGCATCGGGATCACAACAAAAAACATAAACCTTTTCAATTACAATTATGTAAAAAAATTGAAAGAAATAAAAAAAAGATTTGGAGATTTGGGGGAGGTTAAATCTGTCACTGTGGGGCAGGATGTCAATAATTAAAATGACAGTGCTACCAAAGATGTCATTCCTATTCCAAACATTACCAATAATCCGAGATCAAGAAGAAGGGTCGATGGAAGAAGATTGGAAAAAATTTAAAACATATCTTCAGAAACACTGTAATATAAAAGAATGTTAGAAAAGGTTGGAGAAGAATATTAGACCGTATTGGCAGACAGAGTATAATGGAATAAGTAAATATGAAGTGTAAAATAAAAGATAGAAGAGAATTAAATATTTTTGAATGTTAAAATAAGTAAATGAAAAGAAGGTTAGAAGGATTTGCCGGAGATACGATTTGAACTAGAATACAAAGCAGAGAAGTGAGAGGAAGTCACGGAAATAAGTAAATGGGAAAACGGTTTTAATGATTTAATTTGATTTTTTTTTTTGTTACTTTTTAATTGTGATTTTTTGTCTTGTGTATTTTTCTTTGTATTGTGTGTTTTTCTTGTAGGATGTATGTGATTTGTAGGATGTATGTGATTTGTTTTTCTTTTTTTTTACTTTTTTCTTTTTCTGTAATCTTAAAATTGGAATAAATATTCTTTAAAAAAAACAAAAACATTACCAATAATCAGTGGAGTTAAATGTTTTAAAGAGTGGCAAAAAGATCTGGCAAAATTCATTTGGCAGGGTAAAAAACCTGGAATAAAATTACTAACAGAGATTAGAGACAGAGGTGGATTTGCAGTTCCAGAAGTAAAAGAAGTGATACTAAAGTGGGTGCAAGATCTGGGTTATCCTATAGAATTACAAAAATGGGAAGAGCTGTGGAGAAAGAATCTAAGATTCACAGCATGTTACGTAATTAAAGAAAAGTTTATGAAAATGCAATTTAGATGGTATTTAACCCCTTCAAAATTAGCCAAAATGACTAAAAATTATGATAATAAATGTTGGAGATGCAAATTATATGAGGGAACCTTTTTCCATATGTGCCCAGGAATCAAAAAATATGGGACACGACCTATGAGGAATTAACAAAAATATTAAAATTTATATTACAAAAACCCCCGGAAGCATTCTTACTAGGGATCTTAACAAATAACATTCCAAAAGAAAGCAAGAGAATATTCCTCTACACAGTGACTGCATCTAGACTGCTAGTAGCTAAGTATTGGAAGAGTGAATTTATCCCATCGAGAGAGGAATGGCAGTTAAAACTCTGCGAGTACTTGGAACTCACGAAAATGACGGAATCAATAAGAAACAAATCAGCAGACAAAGTCAAAAAAGAATGGGAATGTTTCAACAATTATTTAATGAAACAAGGTTATACTAATAAGACTTGGTTGTGTCTTGAATAACTCCGCAAATAGTGACATACTGTTTCCTCATACCAAGATGAGGATAAAATATTAAATACAAGGGGGAAAGTAAGCTAATTCGAATTGAAATCATAATGAGGCAGAAGGAAGCCAACATCAATAACAAATAAGTAAAGAGATTCAACCCATACTGAAGGTCACTATATATAAGAAATACTATTATAGGGTTGAATTATAGCAAATAGAATTTTTTAAAGAAAGAGGTCTTAAGGCAGTCTAAGTTATTATTTCGATAGAGTTAAACTTTGCCTAATTTTTGTTCGTTTATTTTTCTTTTCTTTTTTATATCCTTTTCTATTCTATGTACGTTGATATGTATGCTTTCCCCTTCTTCCCTTTTCTTTATTCTTTTTTTTCCAGGCAGGTTATTAAAGTATTTATTTGTTAACTATAGTTACAGGTAGGTAGCCGTGTTGATCTGCTGTAGTCGAAACAGCTGTCTGAAGAAGTGTGCATGCACACGAAAGCTCATACCAATAATTAACTTAGTTGGTCTCTAAGGTGCTACTGGAAGGAATTTTTTATTTTTTTGTATTTGTTAACAATGTATTTATAAATGTTTTTTTTTGGGGGGGGGTTCTATAAAAATATTCTGAAAGAATGCGGCCCCATATCAAATTTGAAATTAGCTGGCATTTTGAGAGTTGGTAGGAAATAGATATTCATTTTTTTAAAAACACCATTGTATATTATTAAAATGTATTTTGCCTGAAATTAGATATCTTGATCAACCAAGGAACATAATAAATTTAACTCACTTATCTTTCCAAAGGTCCTGAATGCTTCAGAATCATTTTGTGCAAATATAGGGATGATGGGCTAAAAGAATAAAATAGGAAATAAACAATAACAGAAAGGTGAGACCTGGTTAATTACTTCACCCCAACCGTTCCACCTTAATTTTTGTTAAAGACTAGAAGGAATGATTCACACCCGGCATTATAATGACAAGACAGATGTGATTGGCTTCAGAATTCCTGACAGATCTATTCAAATATCTCAGATGAAAAAAATTCACAAGCTGTCCCCCAGATTTTGAGGAATTGAAGAGAGTAAGAAGAAAAAAGTTGTTTTTCTTATTAAACATTGATTTCAGTAGCTTTTTTAAAAAGCAGGAGTGGGGAATCCATGACTCTCCAGATATCATTTCACTCCATCCTCGGCTATGGAGGATGCTAGATCAAGGATGTCAACACAGTATGTCATATACAGGATAATTGTGAGGACAATGCAAATTGCCCAAAGATCACTCACCACTTTTGCCTCCAAAGCTAGCCGAGCGAAACCTGTGTGGTTACCCCACATTAAGCTGTAGTCAGTACTAAAATTTGCTTCTCTAGCTCCACCAGGGGCAACGCCCAGTAGATGGCCTTTCTTCAGAATTTCCACACATTCAGCTTTATTGAAATCTCTCAATAAGAGCACATCACAAAACATCTTTGGCCCTAGAAGAAAGCCCCAAATAGAAAAATGCATTTTATATAGCTCTCATTTAGGAAATAGTGTGGATACTATACAAGTATCTTCATTCCAAAGATTACTGATCAACTAGGATTTCATGGAAGGGGGACTTTATGCTAGTTCCCCTTTTGCTCACATGTTCTGGCTCATAGTGAGGCTGAGTGCTAAGGTGACCACCTTTTGGAGAAGTGTTCCTCAAGTCAAGTCTCTAGTACAATAGGTTGATATTCAAGTTTGCATCAAGATAAAAATACAGCCCAGGCATCACCAAACTCGGCCCTCCAGCAGTTTGGTTTTTTTTAAATGATATTTATTTAAAATTTCATCAATACATAAAAAACATCCCCAACCCTAACCCCAAAGAGAAAAAAGAAAAAATAATAAAGTAAGAAAAAAAGAAAAAAGAAAATACATATTTCAAATTTCGACTTTTCATTTGCTTGATTCTTGAACCTCCTCACACCTCCCTTTTTGTATTCTAGTTTAATTCGTTATTTCAGCAAATTCTTCCCATATTTCTCAATTTTAATTTAAATAATTAATCTTCACAATCTATCTTATTTGTTAATCAACGTAACCTTTCCCTCTTTTAATATAATCTGTTATTCAATTTGCCTTAATCTTTAACCTTATCTTATCTTAAAAATCTTAAAATTTCGAAATCACATCACATTCATACATTTCTCCTTAAAATCATTTCTACTAAAGCCAATTTGGTTCCTTTCCAGCATATTCCCTCAAATTTCATTAATATTAGACAAATTTCATTGATATTAAACTAATTCCAAAATTAACATAAAAATTTCTATGATTTTCATCCAACGTCCCATCTTCCTGGTTTCGGTCATATCAGTCCTTTCTGTCCGTTACATAGTCCATCAATCTGGTGTTCTGATGTCCGAGGCCCTTAAATCTCTTCTAGGCCCCTTCTGCAAATTTTTTTGTTCTTGTTTATGCTTACGCAGTTCTTTGTCTATTGTTGGTTTCTGGGGGAGTGGGTCTCCGGAGGGTTCCATCCAGTGATAATTTCCATTTTCCTTCATTATATTGTCCCCTTCCCCCCAGTCCCACTCCCAATCTTCATCTTTGTAGTCCAAAAAGTATGTATCCAGAAGATAGTTATTCACCTGTTTCACAGTCACACTGGAGTTAAAAGCTTCCTTAACTTCAAATGCTTCCCAGCACTCTCCAAAATCAATCTTCCAACGCAGTGGCTTTTGTTCCTGCAAAACTTTGGGTCTTTCCATTTGTGTTGTGTAATAGATAGCTACTGCCTCTTCCTCCTCCATCTGCCCTTGGACTTGCCTTGTCAAGCCAGGTTCATCCTCATTCCCTGTTAAATCATATTGGCTGGCCACAGCATTCATAAAATCCAGTTTTTCATTCATCAGACTCACTTTCTCGTGCAGCTGCTCCAGCAAAACATTAGTCCTACCAAGGGCAGACACCAAACCTTCCTGCCAATACATTTCTATTCCAAAACAAGGTCAAACGGCTGTTCCCACGATCCAAATCTCACATATGCAAGCTGCGACCGCAAACTGACAGGCTCCCTCTAGGGGACACAATTTCTGTTTGTATCCATTATTTTTTTAAAAAAAGTATCCAACAAAGAAAGTTACTTTCAATTTCAGGTCCTTTCAATTTCAAATACTGTTTCTTTAAAGAGCAAAAATGCAGACGGTAGCGTTGAAGTTAATTTGTTTCTTCTTCTTTTTTTAAACTATCTGTCAAAAGTACTCCACTTTCAATCAATGGACGTCTCAAGCGGTTTCTGTCCCGACACCCCGTCCCCAGGTTTGGGACGGTGGAAGCTTACATTCCTTTTCGCAGTTCCTGCAGGATTAAGCTGTCAAATTCCCCCCCCCCCTTCTCCTGCTTCCAAGGGGGGGTTTGTTGGCTATGGGTGCAGGAAATTTTCAACTTTAAAAGAACTTTTCAGGCTATTAGGTTACAAGATCTTTGCTTCAAGCTGTATACAAGGACGGGAGGCGGACTTCCTGTTTACACCTTCCCGCTTCGTGCCTAATTTCATAAATTTAAAAATTTCTTAGTCCAATTCTCCGTTTTTACTCACGGGTACTTAATTTAGAGTCCAAATGTCATCAGGAAAAAGTCAGCGCTCTCCGGCGATGGCTGCGCGGCTTCCCTCCATGGAAATAGCAATCAGTTCGCAGCACCGCGCTGCTCCACCCGCTTCACTCCGGAGCCCCGAAAATGGGTTTCCTCGTGAGTAGGGGAGGCGCTTTTGGTGCTCTGCCGAACCCCACGTTCCCAGGCTTCTCCCGCCTGGGATTTCTAAAGGGCCCCCCGCCTTCGCCGCGGCGGGAAGACCCAGTTTCCACAGAGACCGTTCCTCCAGTCGGAGGAACTCCGCCATTCACCGATGGCGCTGACCCGTGGGGGTGGGGGGGGGGGGGGGGGGGGGGGGGGGGGGGGGGGGGGGGGGGGGGGGGGGGGGGGGGGGGGGTGGGGGGTGGAGGGGGGTGGGGGGGTGGGGGATTATTCATCCTACATTCTGTCTTACTTGCAGGGACTTGGTGAGAAAGAACCTCTCCACTAATTTACTGTTTCACCTGTTGCTGCTATTTTATTTACCTGTGGTTTTTTGCCAGATACACTGTTTTGTATTCTACAGCATTGTTTTATATTTAATAGCATTGTTTCATGTCATATTTAGCACATGTTTAATGAAAAAAGCACAATTTTAATTTAAATAATTTACCTGGAAGATTATACAAGGCGTGATGAATTACTGAATGGCACAGTTTTCCTTTCTCTTCATAAGCTTTGCCCACAAAGAAGCAATAGCCGCGAAGCCAAATTGCGTGATGAAAAATAACAATCCCTGGCCCTTTAGGGAGATGTTCCAAGCCAATAACTTCATAACCTGAAAATAATACAAATGGCAACAAATAAATATTATGTTGTTGAAAGGTAAATAAAATATCACAAGAAAATATTGCAAGAAACAGTGTGTTTCGGAAGGGGGAAAATGAAATTAAGATCAGGTACAAAGCTCTGCTATGTGTTCCAGCATTTTGGATGCCAGGAGAGCATCCAAGAGGAACAGGACTTTCTCTGTGGTGGTCGCAAAACTAAAGGGGCAGGAGGGGACTTCTCCTCTCCTGGAATATTCATTCCTTGCTTCCTTTTGGATACAGATGGAAACATTTTTGCCCAGTCTTTGAGTTATTTTGCTCTTTTAATCTACTTTATGTGTGTTTGACCCTTTGAGATGATTTAACATGATATCAAACTAAATGTTTTGGAGACTTTTATTTATTTATTTGAAGGGCAGTATTACCCTTCTGTACAGAGCGCTACTTTGGGAAAGAGCTATCTTAGGCCAGGAGCACATTTCTTCCCCATCCCTAAGAGCTCCAACCAGACAACTTCAGACCATCTTCTGAATCACTGTATACCAAGTAAGAAAGCTGTTTTCCAGACAGATGCACCATTGACCATGTTATAAGTAGCTACAGGGTTTCATCATTGAGGCCAGGCTTAGTTTTAGTAGTGTATTTCTGATTTATGCTTCAACTCATAAAGCAACATCAACATACCCTCCAACATTTCTCAAATGAAAATAAGCACATCAAATAATACTAATAATAATAATAATAATAATAATATAACAATAATAATTGTATTCTTTATACCCCACCCATCAGACTGGGTTGCCTCAGACACTCTGGGTGGCTTACAACATAAATAAAAACATTAAATGTTAAAAACTTTTGTATACTTGGCTGCCTTCGCTCATGTGTCACCTAACTCCCTATCCTCTGACATTTCTCTGGAGAACAGGAATACTTGGAGAGTTTTTAGCAGTCTTCTGGGAGGATATAAGAAGAATCCTGTTGATGAGGCCAAAGGCCTCTAAAGCCCACTGTCCTGTTTCCCGCAGTGTCCATCTAAAGTAGTAGCCATCAAGACAACTTGTGCTGGCAAATACCATAGTTTATGTTTCAGAGCTGCCTTGTGGTTTATCATGCTCAGGAAAATTGCACGCTCAAGGTCTCCCTATACAATGTTATATTAATTACATTGGCTGTGTACCCACAACACATTTAAAGACAATCCCTTTCTCTTCAATCCATGAAGCTATTTTTAAAGGGCTTTGCTAATTGCAGCTCTGTGAAGTGCAAGCAACATTCTCCAGGTTTCGGGGGGGGGGTTAAATATGATTAAAATGTATGGTGTTTATGTAGCCACCAACTCACCCTTTCTTCTGTAATACGTCTTGATTTTGTACGTACCTCATAAAAAATTTTGTTTTTCCTTAGGATGGCTTATTACATATATAAATATCCATGCCTTTGTTTTGATCCTTACAAAGCCAACCAAAACTTGTAGCTCTTATGACACTGAGGTGGGTTCAGAGCTACACTCCTGATGCACTGTGGCAACTATTGTTCCAGTGTTTCAAGTCTGAAATTCTGATGCTCAGTCCTATGAAAGTATAGGAGCTGATAAGACTGAATTATTGGTCTGAAAGAAACCTTTACTCACCATGCCATATCTTTCCATATATATCTAAACAGCGATACATAATGTGCCTTGCCTTGTCCCAACATTTGCTATAAATATCATTTTCTTGCTGGTTATTCATCTTCTTGTAGATATATAACAGAAATGAGACAGCACAGCAAAATATATATAAAAATAACCAGAAAGAATAAAGCAAAATGGGAATCATAAATAACCACAGAGGGTGAACCACAGAGTTCAGGTATTCTTCCAAATAAGTAACACTAATCCAGTTTTCCAGCATTTGAGTAATCCAGCTCATTGTTTCCTGATCTGAAGCAAGTGTATGCCAAGAGATGAGAAGAGCTGAAGTGTATGCCAATGAAATAAATATATCAAGTGAAATTCGCCTCAGTTGTGATGGTATCTTTCCCCCCACTGTTTACCTGTAAAACAGAAAATGCAGTACATCAGTTTGAACTGTCAACCCAGAGCATTCATGATTACATGAAATCTAGTTTTCCCCACTGTAACTAGCCAAGCAGTCATATTTTTCCCCCCAGCATTCATCGCTGAGATCTACAAAATTAGTAATGAACGATCATCATGTTCTTTGCTGTAAAGCAAGCTGGTTTCATTTCATGGCTGAAGTGTTAAGGAAAGTGGAAAAGGAGTTACTTTTCCATGAGTCAGCAGAAATGGCAGTTGCAGGACTTTGTTAGCCACTAGACTTTGCACTTGCTGTGTGGAGTTTGTGTCAGCACTTACTTTATAATCTGAAACGCCCTCTTGTCTTCAGAGAGTGAAGACTTCTTCTAACAATTGCAAAGAATGTGTATATATAGTGTGTGTGTTTTTGCCCCTGAAGTAAAAGCTCTCTCTGCTACACGGTTGTTTTCTACATTGAACCTAACCGCTTGACTGAACTTCTGCAGCACAAACACAACACCCAACGAGGAGGGTGGGGAGAATGGTGAGCTGAAGTTTGGAAGCATTTTGGGATACACTGCAAAGTGGGATTGCAGCTCTGCTGCCAGGTAATAGCAGATGCTGAAGGCCAAACCCTGTTATCACTGCCTCTAGACATTCTTTCCACTTCGGTTATTGGGAACCATGCCACAACACCCAGCCATAGCTGTCAAGGTTTCCCTTTTTTAAAGGAAAATTCCCTTATTCCGAATAGGATTCCTCGCAAGAAAAGGGAAAAGCTTGTTGAATCTCCAGCGGTGCCTTATACAAGCTCCACTTTGGGGCAGTGTGAGCTCTGAAGAGTTTGGGCTGTCACAATTTGGATAATGGGCCATGGCACGAGAGGGAGAGATCAGCTCATTGCCACACAGCCTCTAAGACTCTCACCGGAGTGACAAAACTTCCCAAATTAAATCCAAATAAGAAGATAGAATTCAAAGAATTAGTGGGGAATCTTTGGAAAAGAGCCTGGGAGTGAAAAAAGGGAGTCCACTCCGGATCTGGTGAAATCTGGGGAGAAAAATTGGACTGCAAAGAAATGGGTACAATTAAATGGGTACAGTTTAAACAACTCAAATTACAATTGTGGAATGTAAACAATGATACTCCCCTTTTAGTACAGTGGTACCTCGGGTTACATACGCTTCAGGTTACATACTCCGCTAACCCAGAAATTGTACCTCGGGTTAAGAACTTTGCTTCAGGATGAGAACAGAAATCGTGTGGCAGCGGCACAGCAGCAGCAGCAGGCCCCATTAGCTAAAGTGCTGCTTCAGGTTAAGAACAGTTTCAGGTTAAGAACAGACCTCCAGAACGAATTAAGTACTTAACCTGAGGTACCACTGTATTTGAAACCCAACCTCCAAATGAAAGAAAACAGTGGATCTAAATGTACTGCCAAAGTATACAAATTAAAACCGATTAAACAAGACAGAAAGAAAGAAATAGCAACCTCGTACTATCAAATAGCGGGAGCTTTCGAAAACTTGGGTGCCAAAGGAAATAAGATTTTAATCACAAACCAGACTTGTGAGTGTGGCCAGGAGGACTGGATAATCGGTTTCCTGTGTCCTGTTCTGTTTCTCCATATGGGAAGATATTTTGCGTGTGGTTGTGTTTTCCAAAGTCGTCCTTGGGCAATGCTGTGCTGATAGAGCGGTTTAGGGATTAACTCGGGAGCTTTGTAGCCCAATAATTGAACTAACAAGACTTAATGGATTCAGATGGTTTCCAGAGAGTGGTAGGGAATGCTTTATCCCATGTTGATGGACTTTCAGCTGATTCTCTGGTGGCCCGCTGGAATGTGGAGTTAACCAGGGCTATTGACTGTTTGGCTCTGAAGTGCCCTCTCCGATTGCATGGAGCCCAGACAGGCCCGTGGTTTTCCACGGATCTGAGGGCAATGAAACAATCATTGAGACAGCTAGAGCACCAGTGGCGGATAACTCATTCTGATGCTGACCGGACACGGGCTAGAGCTCAATGTCGAGCCTACCAAGTGGTGGTAGTGACGGCGAAGAAGACTTTCTTCACTGCCTCTATTGCATCTGCAGAAAACAGCAGCAGGAGACTTTTTCAGGTGGTTCGCAATTTAGCGGAACCACCTGCTACATCGGGGCCCAGTACGGGCCACATGATCTCCTGCAATGACTTTGCAAAGTTTTTTGCAGATAAAGTCACTCAGATTCGGGAAGAGGTAGACTCCACCGTGGGAGCAGGGCTGGGGCGGGAGAGTGCTAGAGTCCTGTCTAGTCAAGTTACGTGGGATCAATTCCAATCTGTTACCTCCGAGGATGTGGACAGGCTGCTTGGAAGAGTGAAACCAACCACCTGTCTCCTTGATCCTTGCCCATCCTGGCTTATAAAAGCTAGTTGGGAAGGGCTGGGCGATGGGCTTCGCAGGGTGGTGATTGCTTTTCTCTGTGAGGAGCCTTCCCAGACCAGCTGAAAGAGGCGGTTATCAAACCGCTTCTTAAAAAACCATCTTTAGATGCTGCCAATATGGCCAACTATCGCCCAGTCTCAAATCTTCCATTCTTGGGCAAGGTTATTGAGCGAGTGGTTGCTGAACAACTCCAGGCACGCCTGGAAGAAGTGGACCATTTGGATCCCTTCCAGTCGGGATTCAGGCCTCATCATGGGACTGAAACTGCCTTGGTTGCACTGGTCGATGATTTCTGGCGGGCTAGGGACAAAGGTGAGAGCTGTTTCCTAGTTCTACTGGATCTCTCAGCGGCTTTTGACACCATCAACCATAACATCCTTCTGGACCGTCTAAAGGGGCTGGGAGCTGGGGGGCACTGTTATACAGTGGTTTCGCTCCTTCCTCCTGGGCCGTGTTCAGAAAGTGGTGTTGGGGGATGAGTGTTCAGACCCCTGGGCTCTCACTTGTGGGGTGCCTCAGGGTTCTGTCCTCTCCCCCATGCATTTCAACAACTACATGCAGCCACTGGGAGAGATCATCAGGGGGTTTGGGCTGGGTATTCATCAGTATGCGGTTTATACCCAGCTCTACCTCTGGAGGTGGTTGGAGAATGGATGGCAGCTAACAGATTAAGGTTGAATCCTGACAAGACAGAAGTACTGTTTTTGTGGGACAGGAGGCCGGCAGGTGTGGAAGACTCCCTGGTCCTGCATGGGGTAACTGTGCCCCTGAAGGACCAGGTGCGCACACTTGGGAGTCATTCTGGACTCATAGCTGTCCATGGAGGCACAGGTCAATTTGGTGTCCAGGGCAGGCTGAGACCCTACCTGCCCGTAGACTGTCTCGCCAGAGTGGTTCAAACTCTGGTTATCTCTCGCTTAGACTACTGCAATGTGCTCTATATGGGGCTACCTTTGAAGGTAACCTGGAAACTACAATTAATCCAGAATGTGGCAACTAGACTGGTGACTGGGAGCGGCTGCCGAGACCATATAACACCGGTCTTGAAAGACCTGCACTGGCTCCCAGTACGTTTCCGAACACAATACAAAGTGTTGGTGCTGACCTTTAAAGCCCTAAACGGCCTCGGTCTTGTATACCTGAAGGAGCATCTCCACCTCCATCGTTCTGCCCAGACACTGAGGTCCAGCGCCGAGGGCCTTCTGGCGGTTCCCTCACTGCGAGAAGCCAAGTTACAGGGAACCAGGCAGAGGGCCTTCTTGGTAGTGGCGCCCACCCTGTGGAAAACCCTCCCTTCAGATGTGAAGGAAATAAGCATCTACCTTATCTTTAAAAGACATCTGAAGGCAGCCCTGTTCAGGGAAGTTTTTAATATTTAACGCTGTACTGTTATAACACTTGATTGGGAGCCGCCCAGAATGGCTGGGAAAACTCAGCCAGATGGGCGGGGTATAAATGATAAATTATTATTATTATTATTATTATTATTATTATTATTATTATTCTAGATATGAGGAGGGGGAGATGGTAAACCTTATTCCCAGATATTTACAAAACTGAGTGGCTAAGGATTTTAGCAGGTCCCGAGTAAATCCAGCAGAGTTGAAATAGAGTATTTAATTGATAACAAATTGCATGCTTAAAAAGATGTTGGTTACATGGAGTAGTAGAAAAGCAAACAAACCAGGAAAAGTGTGGAAGGAAGTCATATGGTATATGTATACAGGCTGTATTTGGTATGTAGTTGTAACAGGGGGGGAGGGGGTTAAACATGCTCTCTGTTCCTGTTTTTGAAAATGCAATTATTATTATTTTTTAAAAAGATCATACATGGTTTTTATGCATGAATGCACAAACACACACAAAGGGAGAGATGCTATCACAGAAACTGACAAATAACACAAGTACTAGCACATTTCCAAAAGTAAGCAGGGATTGTTTGTGGAGATTCCTGCATTGCAGGGGTTAACTAGACGACCTCTGGGTCCCCTCCGAACTCTACACTTTAGGATTCTAAAAACAAAAGTTTTTACTTACATTCCTGGTAAGCCTAAATTGCCTTTAATTCAGTCACCTCTCTGGAGAAGCACCTGGAATCCTGTCTGCTGCACTTTTTCGATGTCTAATTTCCAGCCGTATTGAAACACGTCTCTTTATGTAGTGGTGTCAAGAAACTGTGAAAGGTGTGCTATCTGTATGAAGAAACTAAGCATTGTGAAAAAGGCTTAGGGCGCCGGCTGCTTGGAAGTTGTGGCCATTTGTAATCAAACATGAAATATGGAGTCACCTACAATAGCATTCATATGGCACAATAACATATTGGGTCACAGAGTAAAGGAAGGAATTGTGACAAGTGTGTTCTCTCCCTTTCATGGTAGTCTCTCCTTCCAGTCAGGTACAATATGTATGTTGTGTAATACATAACCTTAACAACATGTTCTGTTGCAATATTGAATCCTAGTGCATAAGTGAAAGCTCTTTCATTGGCACGTGACTCTAATTCTACAGCAAATGAGGATTTCATTAATGCTACTGGGTTTGAATACTGAACCTCAAGTAATCATCCTCAGTAATCAAGTCTACTCCAATAAACTTGACCAATCACTTGTGCTTCAGGCATTTTCTGAGATCTCCAATACCATCTGTTTGATCACTGAAATTAAATCCTGCCATGCTGATTTTACTGCAGGCAGCTGGTTGAAAAGCTTCTTCAGGAGTTGTCCCTGCAGTGTGCATTGCTTGATCTTGAGCAAAAACGTTCCAGGTTGACATGCTTTGACATCAAAGGGTCTCTGGTATTCAGTACATGTTCAGTATTGTCAGGTGGAGGCGAAGGAAGTCCAGCATGCATTTGTCAGTTGTCAGAGCAATGTTTGCATACACATATGATGGTCTGTTTTACTCTCTTTTCGAGAGGAGAGGCATTCCTTGTAACAGAGAAGTAGTATTTTTCCTGCATTAAGCATGTTTTTCAACAGGGGAGAAATAATGTGATGCAGTCACGGACACATCAAAAAGAAATATCCATGCAAAAAGGCAAACAGAACCAAAAAACAAAAAACCCCACATGTTTCTGATCTTCCCTGATGGATTTCTCCCTTCCCACTCCCTTGCAGAGACGTGAACAAGGCATCTTCTGTCTCTTGTGTTGGGCCTATCTGGTGCACTTTTTTGTAGACTAATTTCCAGCTGTATTGAGAAACATCTCTTTACATGGTGGTTTCAAGAAACTGTGATAGGTGTGCCATCTGTATGAAGAGACCAAGCACTGTGAAAAAGAGAGGCGGCTTGGTGAGCCAGTGGCTTGGAAGTTGTGGTCATCTGTAATCAAACATGAAATATGGAGTCACACCTACAATAGCATTCCTATGGCACAATAATATATTGGGACACAGAGTAAAGATAGAAATTGTGACAAGTGCGTTTGCTCCCTTTGATGGTAGCTTCTCTCCAAGCCAGGTAAAATATGTATGTTGTGTAATACATAACCTTCATAACACGTTCTGTTACAATACAGTGGTGCCCCGCAAGACGAATGCCTCGCAAGACGGAAAAACCGCTAGACGAAAGGGTTTTCCGTTTTGAAGTTGCTTCGCAGGACGAATTCCCCTATGGGCTTGCTTCGCAAGACGAAAATACCTTGCGAGTCTTGAGATTTTTTTCCGCTTTCCCCCCCCTTTATCTAATCTGCTAAGCCTTTAATAGCCTTTAATAGCCTTTTAGCAGCTAATCCCCTAAGCCTTTAAGCCTTTAATAGCCGCTAAACCGCTAATAGCGCTAATAGCGCTAATCCGTCAATGGGCTTGCTTCGCAAGACGAAAAAAGCGCTAGACGAAGACTCTCGCGGAACGGATTAATTTCGTCTTGCGAGGCACCACTGTATTGAATCCTAGTGCATAAGTAAAAGCTCTTCCATTGGCACTTGTCTCTTTAATTCTACAGCAAATGAGGATTTCATTAACACCTTCTGGGTTTGAATACCAAATCTTAAGTAATCATCCTCAGAAATCAAGTCTACTCCAATAAACTTGACCAGTCACTTGTTCTCCAGGCATTTTCTGAGATCTCCAATACCATCTTTTTGATCACTGAAATTAAATTCTGCCATGCCGATTTTACTGCAGGCAGCTGGTTGTTTGATCAGGAGCAAAAAAGTTCCAGGTTGACATGCTTTGACATCAAAGGATCACAGAGACATTAAAAACAAATATCCATGGGAAGTAAAAGGCAAATAGAACCAAAAAACAAAAAAAAACCCATAGGTTTCTGATCTTCCCTAGTCACTTCATGAATCACTTGAAGAAGAGTTAAAACCAATTAAAACTCATTAAAACCGCTTCAAATCTACTAAAAGGCAGATAAAAACCACAGGCCTTCGAGAGAGATGTTGCCTTGCAAGCTGCTGAGTCCCTTCCAGGCACTGTCCTACTTCATCACCTGACACTCCTGAGAATATGAGAGAGCCCTGTTTGCTTCAGTGTTGAGGATGACACTTAAGAGCCAACCTGTCAAGTGCCTACCTTAATTCCCAATTCTATATCAAGACTTTGACAGAAGTGGTGAGCATGCCAACTTGAAAATTCCTGAGAGTATTCAGGAATCCATCAGATACCATAAGTCTCTGGGAACTGACCGCCTTAATGGATCCCCCAGCCTTATAGAGGGGCACTGCATCATCACTTCAAATTTCACCATTGTATTATCCATCTCAGACAATGGGCTCAGCACAAACCTCCCTACCAATGAATTTCTGTCTTCCCACTCCCTTGGAAAGACCTGAACTAGGGTATGTTCTGTCACTTCTGTTGGGCCTTTAATTTACTGAGTCTCATGGTTGCCACAGAGGCCGTGAAGTCTGAGCTGACCCAGGACCTACAGGTTACCTCCCTCCCTTTAGACAGTGAATTCTCAAACTTATTGTGAAAGTGAGCTGAAAGGAAGAGATTCCTTGCCAGTGATGGGAGATTGAGGATTGGAGTGATTGTTCTGTGATATTATGGCAGTGTACAATGTTGTAGGGTAATTTTTAATTGTGTTTGAAATGTATTGTTGTAATTTGTTTTAATATTAAATAAATGTGCAAAAAATGAATAAATCCCTCTTCACAGGGATCTCTGGAAGGGGAGCTCTGTGGGGAAAATAGGGGGTCTCCTAACAACTCTCAGCACCCTTATACCACAGCACCCAGAATTCTCTGGAAGAAGCAATGGCAGCTTAAAGTAATATTGTATTGTTGGAAAAATATGGGCTATATTTAATAAGGCATCCTGGCTTATGAAAGCTAGCCGGGATGGGATGAATGAGTGCTCCAGAGGTAAGGTAAATGGGTCTTTGCATTCTGTAGTGCTGGATGCTGCCCTTAAAGAGGCAGCAGTGTGTTGACTCCTCAAGAAGCCCTCTCTAGACCTAACAGAGAGCAACAACTATAGACTATAGTAGGTGGAGAGGGTGGTTGTGGAGCAGCTGCAGGTGTTTCTGGGTGAAACTGGTAATCTAGATCCATTAAAATCTAGGTTCAGACCTAAATTTAGAACTGAATCAGCTTTGGTCCCCTTGATGGATTACCTTTATCATAAAATAGACCAACTGTAGGGCCAGGTTCCCAGAAATATAGTCTGCACTACTGTAATGTGTTCTATGTGGAGCTGCCCTCGGGCCTTATCAGGAAGCTCCAGGGGGCATAGAATGGGGTGGCTTAGATTGCTGATGGAGGCATCTGACCAAGATTATGTGACACCATGGGTAATTTGACCCTTGCTGAGAGGAGCATTGTTTCCCCTTACATAAATATTTCCTTACAAGCGTCCTTGGTCGGTTGAGGCCCTAAGGTCGGTAGCGCGCTTGTAGGCCTTCAGGCCAGTAAATATGGTGAATATTTTGCATCTTGTGCGAGAACACTGGGCCTTAAGTTTGGTCCCCATAGGATTTGTGTTGGGATGTTACTTTGACAGGAAGAATGATGAGAAAATGGCACTCTTCAGAAACAAAAGCAAGTTATTTCAAAGGGAATTGAAACCTGGAGAAGAAGTCACATGGAGATAATGTATTAAATGAGAAATGCTTCCAGATAATTAAACTTGTATCTATATTTAAAATAAATAAATAAATATTTCCTTACATCTTTAAAGAAACAAGAAAGGAAAATAAGTGGAAGAAGACTGAAAGGGAATATGAGAGAGATAGGGTGCCAATTGTATTGTTTAGGAACAGGCTTGAATTTTGAATTTTGTTTTTCCACTGAATATCATATGCTAATACTTCATATTACAATGGGGATCTTAGTTATATTAAATGAAACCCACATACATGAAAATTATAATTTTAGATTATTGATTAAAATATTTTAGTGGAAATCAACCCATGTCTTCTATCTGTTAAGTGTCATATTTTGTTCAATAAAATATATGCTTTTGGAAGTGTCCAAATGTACAATTGTGTATGCACAGTTCTTAACACTTTGGTATTTATAGCCACTTGAGCAAAACCTTTCCATTTTTTCATAGAAGTTGGTATGATTTAAGTACTCCTTTAGATGGACATTGCGAGAAACAGGATGGTGGGCTATAGATGCCTTTGGCCTCATCAACAGGATTCTTCTTATATCCTCCCAGAAGACTGCTAAAAACTCTCCAAGTATTCCTGTTCTCCAGGGACAGTCCCGCATTTACCGGCACCATCCTGTTAGGGTTTCTGATTTGATCCTGGAATGTCCCGCTTTTCCTTAGGATGTTCCTATTTTCATTTGAGAAATGAGAATTTCAATTTGAGAAAGTTTGGGTCCCAAGGATGAAACCCTGTAGCTACTTATGACATGGTCAATGGTGCATCTGTCTGGGAAACAGCTTTCTCACTTTGTATATAGTAATTCAGAAGATGGTCTAAAGATGCCTGATATTGGCGCTCCTAGGGATGCGGAAGAAATGTGCTCCTGGTCCTGGATAGCTCTTCCCCAAAGAAGTGCTCTGTATAGAAGGGTAATACTGCCCTTCACATAAATAAAAAGTCTCTAAAACATTTAGTATGATATCATGTTAAAGGCTCCAACACACATAAAGCTTAAAGTAGATTAGAAGAGCAAAATAGTTCAATCAAAGACTGGGCAAAAATGTTTCCATCTGCGTCCAAAAGGAAGCAAGGAATGAATATTCCAGGAGAGAAGTCCCCTCCTGCCCCCATTAGTTCTGTGACCACCACAGAGAAAGTCCTGTTCCTCTTGGATGCTCTCCTGGCATCCAGAATGCTGGAACACAGAGCTTTGTACCTGATCTTAAATTTCATTTTTTCCGCTTCCAAAACACACTGTTTTCTTCCAATAAAATATTGTGATATTTTATTTACCTTTCAACAACATAATATTTATTTGTTGCCATTTGTATTATATTCAGGTTATGAAGTTATTGGCTTGGAACATCTCCCTAAAGGACTAGGGATTGTTATTTTTCATCACTCAGTTTTTCTCCTCGGCTATTCCTACTTTGTGGAAAAAGTTTATCTAGAGAAAGGGAGACTGTGCCATACATTAATTGATCATGTCCTTTATGGGGTTCCGGGTAAATTATTTAAATTAAAATTGTGCTTTTTTACATAAAAACATGTGCAAATTTTGACATAAAACAATGCTGTAATCAGGAGATGAAAAGACAGCTACAGGAGACAAGACATCTACACTGATCAGTGCCCAGAGCTCCAACAATAGGTCAGCTAGGTCATGGGCTGTTAGGGCAGACCCAGTCTGGAGCTGTTGGGTCCACCGCAAAAAGGAGATAAACACT